CCCACCAGCCTCGCTGTGCACCACGAGCAAAGGGAACGGATGACTGCAGGCCCTCGGGGGTTGGGAGGAGCCTCTGCTCCCTTCCCGTTTTGTATGTTAGCTGTAAATTTACTGCTGCTAGCCAGATGATCAGTCCCAGGCCTTAGGCCAGAAGACTCCATATTGCAGCTTCCCCCTGGATGATGTGGTCTGGATGGGATCCCTTTCACCGCTGCTTAATGGGCACTAATGGGTCCTTCATTTGTGACACAGGAAGCTGCCTCAGTGCCACTCCCAGCCCTTCAACTCAGGGAGCAAGAAGCCAGGGCCAGGAACTGGGATCCCGGTTTCTGCAGTGCAGGGCACTAGCCCTTGAGCGCACAGGCTCCGCCTCAGCGGTTAACTATTAAAGAACTTGTTTCAGTGCCTCTCTACTCTGTGAAAGTGCCGGCTGAGCTGTGGGCCCCAGACCGTACTGGCATGGCAGAGATGCCTAAAACACTGGGGCTGCAAGTCCCCCCTCAGCAGGAGCAGGCAATAGTTCCCTCCTAACGGGCACCTCAGACATTAGACTCCTTGGCTGGACTGTTAACTCCTTAGCTTGGAAATTCCCATTAGAATGAACCCTGAGCCAGCACCTCCATTCAAATGGGAGCTGCCAGCAGGCAGCCGTATCTCCGCAATGATGAGTAAATTCCTTTGATGGTTGGCATGCACGTTACGGAAGGTCCTGGGGCCTAGGCTCAGGAGCTGGCCTCCACGCTTGTGAGACAGGTTACGCACCTTGGGTTTCAGAAAACCAAACCCTTCCTGGTTTTGTCTGAATCATAGAATATCAGGGTTGGAAGGGACCTCAGGAGGTCGTCTAGTCCAACCCTCTGCTCAAAGCTGGACCAACCCCAACTAAATCAGCAACAAATCGGCCCGTGTATACCTTCCTAAAGCTCATTGTGACATTTGGGAACCAATACGCAGCTTAGTGCATTCTGCAAACACCTCTTCTCCACTGGCTGTCACTGTGGCAATGCTCCAACCGAAAGAGGTTGACTATAGCCAAGATTAACCCTTCAGGGACTGTTGGTGGCAATAACTGAGCAGGCCTGCAGCCGTGTTGCTGTCATACCCATAGGCACAGTTAGTGGTGCTGTGGAAGATTAAGTTGCCTAGCCCCACACGGAGAACAGGCAGACTGGCTGTCAGCGGCAGTGACTGCAGTCACCAGGACTCGGATTTACTAGGCTTTCGCCCAGTTTGCTCTAGTTGAGGGTTGCTCTCAGGATCCTTCAGGGGCTCTTCTCTCCCATGCTGACTTCCTGGCCTGTGTTTCAGATAGTGCCTGGAGACCCCTTGGACAAGAGTATCGTCATCCGGCCCTTGGAGCCCCAGCCAGCACCTCACCTGGCCAGAGAGTTCATGATCAAGACCAGGCGCAGAAAGGTAAGGCCAGCAGCAGCCTCGCCTACTCTGCTGACTCTTCTCCCCTATCTGCACAGTTCATAGGGCCCAGCATGCCCCTCGCACCACAGCTGTGCTTTGGACTCCGTATGCTGCCCTATGCATGGAGCCATCCCTTGCACTGCTGCTGGAATGGCTGCGCTGTTTCCCAGGGTCTTTCAGCAGGGCTTTGAACGCACCAGGGTGGGCTGCTCAGCTCTCTGGGAGCTCTGCTGGCTCTTACCTCTCCAGCTCACGCTGCTGCTTCTCCTTCCACAGGGCCTGAGCGAGGACGTGAGCATCAGCAAGTTCTTCGACGACCCTATGTTGCTGGAGCTGGCCAAGCAGGATGTTGTTCTGAACTACCCCATGTGACCATGTTGCTGCAGAGGCTAACCAGAGACTGCTCCAGTGTCTGCCGGCCCAGCTCTTTCCCCCTCCTCGTCGTCCTGCAAACATCTCCTCCCTCGCAGTCCGGCTGCCCTGGTACTGCATGTGCTGGGCACTTCTGCTAAGGCCTCAGAAGTACCCTTACCCACGACCTTACAGGCTGTGTGTGTTCAGTGCCTCCCTAGGCCAGGAGTCTGCACTCGAGATGGACAGAATATGGACATGGCTGATATCACTCTTGGTCCCCTGCAGCCTGTCACTTCCATTGCTGTGTACAAATGAATTTTATAGCCGTGCGTGGCAGTTCCAGGCCCAAAGGGGTTAATCCACACCCGTGTTCCCCTAGTGAACATGGCGTTAGGGACAAACTGAAGTTTCGTGCAGGGGTTTCATGCTGGGTTCAGCCGCCTGCCTCTGCCTCTGATAAAGCTGGGAGCTGCCGCCAAGCTCCTGCAGCCAGTGACGTGCGTAGGCTTCTCGTGGTGGGGGGAGACAGAGCCTCTCCTGGGGTGCCCAGGAAGGGGGATGGCCTGTGTCTGGGGGGTTGTTAGTGACCTTGCAGGGAACGGGTGGCGGGAGTCTGGACCTCCTGACAGTCTGGATTTTTATTTCTATTTTGTACAAGTTTATTTTTGAGCTTTGTAAAGACTGAATAAAACCCCTCTCCCCTGGCGTGTGTCTCTGTCCTGGGGGGTCTCATTGCCCAGAGGGGAGAGATGCTTGGCTCAGAGCCCACATAGTGACCCCTGGAGCCAGTAGCCAGCACAGGAGCAAGGACCCACTGACCGTTGCTTCTGTACTGTGAGTTAGAATCATAGAATCATAGAATATAAGGGTTGGAAGGGACCCCAGAAGGTCATCTAGTCCAACCCCCTGCTCGAAGCAGGACCAATTCCCAGTTAAATCATCCCAGCCAGGGCTTTGTCAAGCCTGACAAAAGAGTTGCACCCGTCCTCTGGCCCATCTGCCTCTGGGGGGAGGTGTGTGCTGGGTTCAGCAGTTTTCAGTGCAGCCCCCCTGTGGATTCTCCAACAAGCAGGATGCGCTAGTGTCAATCACCCCCATGGCTTGGCAGGGTCACTGCTCCCATCTCTGCAGCTTGTGGCTCAGGGGCTGGGGGATCGCCGGTGTGCTAGGCTTAAGACTCTCTCGGCAGCCCTGTGGCTGTTGCCTCATACGTACTGTGCAGGGCCTGTGCTCTCGTGTTTGCCTTCCAACGTAGCTCTGCAAATCATAATGTCCCCTTCCCCTTCGGTCACAGGCCTTCCCCCAGATCACACTCCAGTCTCCTGCTTCCAGCCAGCCCGCACTCTCTCCAGGCTAGCAGGCAGGGGCACAGTAATGGTCCAATCTCCTGTCAGTCTCTGAAGAGGCCAGTCTCTGAATGGCCCATGGTGGACACTGACCGTTTCCCCTCAGCCCTAGTGCTGCCCCCCCAGGTCAGTGTTGGGAAGCTGGCCCTGCCCCTGCTCAGGCCGTACCTCTTCTCCGCATACCCTGGGGCCTTTGCTTGGGGCTGCCTCTGTTCACCCTCCAACTTGCTGGGTTTGGTCTCGTGGAGCAAACGCTGTGCTGGTCCCTGGTCTCTTTCCAGCTCCATGTGACTGCACTTCCCTGCGTCCGTTCATATTGGAGCCCCGACCTCCTGCTGGGCTGGCCCTAGCCATGGCCCCTCCAGAGTCCCATCCTCATCCCTGTCTGAAGCTCCCAGAGCTTTCTGGAGCCAGCCGGAGCTGAGCACCTGCTTTATTCACTCATGTGGGTCTTGCTGGCCTGAGCTGAGGCAAGGTGGAAAGTCCTTGGGATGTCAGGCCCCCGGCGGCAGCACTGAGCTCCTGTCCTCTGGGCAGGCACCTGTGCGCTGTGCCAGGCTGTGAGCATGGCCCTTGGCCCTATGCTAGCAGCGGGGAGCAGGGCTGCCTAACAGAGCAGGTCTCTGTCTTATGGCTACCTAGGGCTGGATGAGGGGGCTCGGCTCCAAGGAGACCAGTTTGGCCTGGCTTCAGTGCATGTTGGTAACAAGCCTGTGGGAGCCCTGAGCCCTGTTCTCTCTCCATGGAGATCTCAGTCCCATGGCGTGGCTCTGGCCCAGGACCCTGCCATGCACCTCTCCCAGCCCTGCGGCAGTCCTTTGTTGGCACAGCTCCGCCCCAGACCACAACCGGGGCAAGGGAGAGGAGATGGGGTGGTTACCCTGTTTCAGAGCTGGGGGAACTGCCTGTGCCAGGTTTACAATGGCGCCATGGAGCCGGGCCCATGCTCAGAAGGGGCCCCAGCCTGCTCTGCTTGCCCTGTGCACTGAGACCCTGCCAGCCTCCCTGCCCCACCCCATCCCACCCACCACTTGTTCCTCTTCAGCCCCTGGCCCTGCCCCCCAGCCAGACCCCAGTGCAGCTCCGGGCAGTCTATGCTTCCCACCACCCATGGGGCCCCACCTGTCTCCTGGGAGCTGAGCCACCTGGGACTGGTGCAGAAGCATGGCCAGTCTCAGCCAGTTGGGTGGGGGAGGGCTTGACTGGGCCCCTCCAGGCAAGTGGGCCCTGGCCTGGCTGATAGCACCACTCCCGAGGGGCTGGAGCAATTCCCCGCCCCAGGACCAGCCCTGGCTGTGCTGTCGGCTCAGCCCGTCAGACGGTCACCTCCCAGCAGAGCCAGTGAGTGCGGCCGGGAGGCAGGGTATGGGGAAAGGGGTGTCTGGGGGGCAGTGGGTGCTGGGCTGTGAGGGGGTGGGGAAGAGCTGTGGGTGCCGGTTTGTAGATAGTTCCCTGCACTGGGCTGGGCGGAGCGCAGCCATCCCTGCCATGCCATGCCCCTGGCCAGCCCCTTGCTCCAGGGACTGACCCCACTGCACCCTGCTCCATTGCCCCCATGGGGGCCCACAAAAGGTTAATCCGGCTCTGGGAACTGCAGCTCAGAGACACTAGTGCCAGGCCACCCAGGTGTAGAGCAGGGCATGGAGCGCAGGCCCCGGCCTTCGCCACACGGGCATCATTTCTCCCTTCACCTTAGCACCATTCATCCATCATGCAGCAGTCTGAGCCCTCGCCCCCACCCTCTGCCTAGCTGCCACGCTGCTCTCCCTCCGAGCTGGGACTAGAACCCAGGCGTCCTGCCCCCTAGAGCCCTGCACTGCCTGCCTGCCTTACTGACCAGCTCAGAAAGTGTGTTCCAAGAACGGGGCTGAGCCTCCCGTTACCTGTAACTTTATAAACCGTGAAAGCAGGATTGGTTCCATACACAACAGCAGCCCCAGGGAGCGCGGGGCTGCAGGGACCTAGGTTCCGCCAAGGGAAGATCGCTGTGCTGTGGCCCTCAGACGCTGCAGCTTCCTCTGGGCTATTTCTGGGCTCTGTCTGCAGCCCGTTTCAGCAGGTAGTCTTTGTACACTGTGTAGGTTGCTCCTGCAAGAGAGACCGTGACATCGTGCAGGCCCGAAAGGGAAAGGGACAGTGGCATAGGAACGTGCCACACAAATAACTTGTATTTCTAGAGCGTTGTCTGTCCTGGAGCGCTGTGGATCACTTCACCCACTCCCGAGGAGCTGGCAGCTGAACCCGTAGGGGCAACTGGGAACAGAAGCTTGTAAAGTGTGAACCACGAGGGCCCTTGGCCACCAACGCAGCTACCCCCAGGCTGCGGGCGATTTGCCTCACGCAGGTGTCTCTAAAACCTGCCCCCAGTTGGCCTCGCTGCAGGCGGCACTGGCTGAAACGCTCCGGCTCGGGCCATGCAGGAGGGCAGACCGGATGGGCACAACGCTCCCTTCCGGCCCCCAAATCACATTGCCCACGTCTCGCTGCAAGGGCTTGCAGTATAAACGAGACTCAGGCCCAGCGAACTGCTACAGGATCGCCGAGCTGGAGTCTGGCCAGGGGGCAGGGCCCTAGCGTCAGGAGAGCTTTTCCAAGCGGCTGTGGCCGCACCTGGGCTGACGCACTCAGCCTGCTGGAAGCTGCTAACCGCGCGCTCCAGAGAGCTCACTGGGGCCCATCAGCTTTCCGCACAGCTGTCCTCGCCCGGCTGATGTTCCCCAGCTGCCTGGCCCCCCTGCCTGCTGGCCCCTCCACACATCTTGGCAGAGAGGGGCTGCGTTGTCTCAAGCCATGGTGGGGAAGGGGAGGAAGGCAGGTTTCTCCAGCAGGGTGGAGGAAAGGGGACGCCGCTTGCAGAAGCAGCCCCGTTACTGTATGGGTGATTCAGGTGCCCAAGGTGATATTCAGCAGCAGCCCTGGGTGTGGACAAAGCTTCTCCCTTTGTACGTGAGGGCAGGGACCTTGGACTTCATGGCCCAATTCTGTGTGTGACAAAGGAGTCCCTTCTATCTGGCACCAATTTCAAGTGAACCCCTCCGATTGAGTGACCCCCCCTTTCCTCTGCGTGACTCAGGCCGCGGCCCCAAGAAGAGGTGGCCAATGCCAACGCACCATCCAGCGGCTGCAGAATCCACCACCCTGGCGGGGGTTTCGGTGCCTAGCAGAATGCAGCCCCCGTCTGTGGTCCCAGCTTGCCTAGGCTACAGCCCATGCACACCTTGGCCCCAGCATACCCCAGCCCTCACTTACCCAGCGTGATGGCTCCAACCACGCAGGCTTGGGCAGCCATGCGGGTGTGGATCAGGTGCACAGACATCTTCATCTTTCCTCTGGCCTGCAGTCTGTAGAGGCCATAAGCGACCACAAGGGCAAAGCCCCCAATGCCTGTGGGAGAGCACATGGCAGCTGGGTCACTGGGAGGCTCTCCGGGGCACACAGCTGGCGTTGAGGAGGCTGATGCTGCGGCGTGAGCTGCTGGCCAAGGGCCTCCCTGGTACTTTTGGTTTGTTTGATTCTTCCTGGCTTCTGTGCTACCCTGCTCCCGTCGGCAGCCCCCGCCCGTAGCACCGTCCATGCTACGGTTCCCCCTGCAGGGGCCGGTCAGCACATGGGCCCGGTAGTTACTAGCTCTTCCCCTCCCTTGGGCTCGGAGGATGGGTCCATTTCACATGCCAGCCAGCGCTCTGCACCCAGCGATTGTGGGAAGCCAGGAGCTGCCCTGGCTCGGCTGGGGAAGGGTTTTTCACACCTCTCGTGGCCACGCAGCTTGTGGGGCAGGTGCTATGAAAGCTCCCGCAGCTCCCATCTGACCTGCCACAGCCCTGCTATTCCGGTCCTGCCACCCCCGTCCATCCCCACCCAGCCTCCAGGGAGCAGCTCCTGAGGCCGTCCCCTCGCTGGGTCCCGGGGCACGCTGCCCTCCCAGCAGCACCCCTTCGCCCCCACTCACCAGCAGGCACGAATGGGGCCGCACCCGCCTTCTGCAGGAGCTTGGTGGAGACGGTGCCTTCGCGCTCAGGGACCCACTGGCTTTCATCCATAACCATCCTGCCCCTGCAGCCAAACAGGCTCCATGAGCCAGCTTTCCAACCCCAGCAGTCAGTGACTCCCCTTCTCCAGTGTCCCCTTTGCCCCCACCCCACCCCACAGAGCTGTACCCTGGGGTCTGCCTGGTGCCCCCAGCCAGGGCTTTTCACTATCACAACTTCCTTGTGCTTCCTAGTGTCTTACCACAGGAACAACCCACGCCTCCTCCCTCTCCCCACTTTACACCTGGGGCCTGGAGAGGGGCGGGTTTCTGTTACCCATGGTCACAGAGCAAGTCGGTGGCAGGGCCAGGGGCAGAACCCAGGAATCCTGCCTCCCTGGGGCCTGTCCAGGGGCTGCCCAGCTAAGGCATGTGAATGGCTGGGCCACTGCTGGCCACTTGTTCCCCCTGGGGCGGGGGGAGGTTCCCAGAACAGAACCCACTCGGTCCGTGCTGTGCCCTGCTGCCCCCAGCAATGGGCTCGTGCGGCTGCAGCAAGCATCTGAGATGCCAGCAGGGCTCCAGTGCCTCACCCCTGCGTCGTTCTGCTGGGCTTTGGGCATCGTGGACGGGTGCGACTGGGTCTGCAGCGCAGGGGACGCGGCATTCGCACCAGCCAGCCCAAGGCCAGGCTGTGCCTGGGGCCTGTTCGGTGCCAGCCCCAACCCGAGGCCACTGTCAGCCACCAAGACAGACCCTGAGCCAGCGGGACAATTCCCAGGTAACCGGGATGCCGCTCGTGTGCCACAAGCCAGGGATAAGCTGTAGCTACGGTCAGTGACGGGCCTGTGAGCATGACACCATGAAGGGCCATGTTTGTCCTAAAGCAGGGCAGGCTGAGTTCACGGTGGGGAGCAAGCGTCAGGGTCCCAGGGGTGCAGTAAAATACCTGTAGCTGGTATCCTCTGAGGGGGTGGGGTCCTGACTTCCCTCTGCTCGAGAACCTGCCTCCCTCTGTACAGGAGCCGCCATCCCCTGGTCCGTGCCCAGGTGCGCAGGGGATGGGGCAGCTTTCATGCTGCTAATGCTCAGCAGCTCTGTAGCCATTACCTGCCAAGGGCCGCTGGGCACCAGTATGGCATGGCCTGGCTTCCCAGTGAGGGATATTTCCAAACCCCTCATCCCTGGGCTGCTTGCCCAGCGCCAACAGCTCTGCCAAGCGGCCGAGAAAGCTGCAGGCCCAACCCAGCAGAGAGCCGAGCGAAGCGCCGTGACCTGAGACACTGAACCTCCCTCCTTGCGCAGGCAGCCAGGGTGCCGAGCCCCTGGCAAGGCTGCTGGATCCTGGGCACTGTCCAGCACTCACCGGGCCCCATCCAAAGGACCCAGAGCCATGTGCCAGGGGCTTGCTGGCACTTACCTGCTCTCAGTGTTGCTGGGCTAGGTCTGCAGGCTGCCCGGGCTGGATCTCCTCTCCCCGTCCGCACCAGGGACATTTCCCAGCCCCTCACGTTAGGGTTACAGCAAAGTCACCGGCTGGGGAGGGGGAGAGAGCAGAGAGGGGGCTGGTAACTTGGCACCAGTTCCAGGGACCTTAACCCTTTGTCTGCTGGACTCCAGCTCCTCTCCCAGAGGAAAGGGTCTCCGGTGAAATCAAGACCGCACCCACTGGCTGAGCACCCAGGCCTCCAGCTTTGCCCAGGATTCCCTGAGCCACGAGAAACAGGCGGGAAAAGTCCCAGCTCCACCAGCACCTCAGGGTGTCCACCAGCCTCCTGTCCCTCCCTGTCTGCCAGCCACCCCTGCAGTCGTAGCTCACAGCCCCCAGACTCCCCACCCTCGCCCCAGGATGGGCTCTGCCTTCCTCCCGCTAACAAGCCTTTGAGCTCTCTGCCCTGCCTTTGCTGCCAGCCCCGTTAACCACGGGACTCCCGTCCCCTGGACCCCCTTACATGGCCCCAAGCCTCTGCCCCCCATGGGTAGGCAGTGACACCCGGCCGTGCCCAGCCCCTCATGCCTGAAGGATGGGGGAAGTGGTGGGGCTAGAAGATCCCCTGGGGGCAGGTGGTGCTGGGCAGTGGCAGGCTGGTGGCAGGAATTACACAACCCCACACAGTAATGTTAGTACGGAGGGAAGAGTCCAGCGGCCTCCCCCGCCCCACACGAGGAAGGCCGGGTTGTCTGCTTAGGAGAGACAGCAGGGGCTGGGAGTCAGGACTCCTGGGTTCTGCACCAGGTCTGGCACTGATTCATTGGGCAAGTCATTTCCCCTCCTGGGGCCTCAGTTTGAACCTGTGTAAACCGAGGACACTAATATCTGCCGACATGGGGGCTGTGCAGCCAAGTAACCAGACATTGGTAAAGTGCTTGGAGATCCTCTTGTGGGCGGTGTCACCAACATGCCCATGGCATTGTTTGATGTTGCTCACTGGCCGTGTCCCAGTGAGCCTGGGGAAGAGGCTTCAGCACCAGTGCGTTGTGAAAATCAGTGACTTCAGGCTGGGAGGCAGGGCTTCCGAATTGTCACGTTCTCTGCTGGATTTAGACCAGTCTAGAGAACATCACCATGGAGCATTGCCTGCGTGCTGCTCCCGCGCAGCCATTCTGCAGCAAATGGTGTATGGGCTCTCTATGAAATCCACGGCAGAGGCTTTCCAGGGCTTCTCTTCCACGTTAGCAGGGGCTTTAGCCACAAGAGCATCTTTTCTTTCCAAGGGCTTTATAGATTTGGCATAGACCTTCCATCACCCTATGGAGCTGATAAATGGAAGGCTGCTGCAGAGAGTGGTCCATGCCTGGTCTGTTCAGCTGCATCATTAATGTGGAGAATAGCTGTCTTGGATGATCATGAAGTGTAAGGCAATCTCTGATAAACCAGGTCTCAAGCCATTAATTTGAAGCAAAAGCAGATATATATAAAAAACCAAAACAATAGATACCAAATGGAAAAAGGGGGCAGTTGATAGCAATGAATATAAATTAGAAGCTAGGAATTATAGAAAATTGATAAGAGAAGCAAAAGGACACAAGGAGGCATCTATGGCCGGCACAGTTAAGGGCAATAAGTAGAGGTGTTTTTAAGTATATTAGGAACCAAAGGAATCCTAGAAATGGTATTGGTCCATTACTAAATGGAAATGGTAGAATTGCAGACAAAGCAGAAGTGTTCAATAAATATTCCTCTTCTGTATTTGGGAAAAAGACAGATGATGTAGGTATATCATAAGATGATGAAGAAATACTTTCCATTCCAACAGTAACTCAGGAGGATGTTAAACAGCAGCTACTAAAGTTGGAGATTGTTAAATCAGTAGGTTCGGAGAACTTACAACCAAGAGTTTAAAAAGAGCTAGCTGAGGAGCAATCTGGAATGTTAAAGTTGATTTTTCCAGAACTTTTGGAACACTAGGGAAAATCCAGAGGACTGGAAGAAAGCTAATGTTGTGCCAATATTTAAGAAGGGAAATGGAACAATGTGGGTAGTTACCGGCCTGTTAGCCTGAAATCAATCCCGGGCAAAATAATGGAACAGCTGATCCACTCGTCAGTTAATAAAGAATTAAAGGAGCGTAACATAATTAATATCAATCAACACGGGTTTGTGGAAAATAGATCATGACAAACTAACTTGATATCTCTTTTTGATGATATTCCATGTTTGGTTGACAAAGGTATAATATAATTAGACTTCTGCAAGGCATTTGAGTCGATACTGCACAATATTTTGATTAAAAAACTAGACTATAAAATGAACCTGGCCCACATTACATGGATTAAAAACTGACTAAATATAACTGTTTACAGGGAATCATCATTGAGCAGGTGTGTTTCCAGTGGAGTCCTGCAGGGAGTGGCTCTTGGCCCTTCACTATTTCACAGTTTGATTAATGACCTAGACACAAATCAGAAATCATCTCCGGGAAACTCTGCAGGTGACACACAGCTTGGGGGAGGGGTGAGTGGGGAGGAAGCCAGGTCCCTGGATCGCTTCAGAACGTGGGCAACGCAAAGGTTGTTGCCAGTTCATAGGGCTTTGTGGGTTAGGAGCAGCCCTTTGAAGCAGCAGACAAGCTTTTAGAGGGTGCGAGGTCTCGGAGGAGGCCCAAGGCCTGAGCTTGGTCCCCCAGTGCCCAGTCCATCGCCGTCTTGGCCAAGACACAAGGGATTGCACTGGGGCCATCCAGGGCTCAACACCGGAGTCTCTACAGCTGGTGTGCCTGAGGCCAGGGTGTTGCTAACCTCCGCTGTGGCAGACAGTGACACACCCTGATCAGTGGGCTAAGCTGCCCGAGAAGATCTGGGGAGCAGCCAGTCCCCATCCTGCGGGGGCTCCCGGCACTTCCCCGGGGAAAGGATTCTGTCCCAGTGGATCTCGGAGCCAGGCAGCTTTCCCTGCTCTTCCGCCCCATTTCCCTCTCTCTTAATCTAGTTCGGCCTGCCCCCCAGGATGTGCTGAGTCCCCCTACCCCGTGGGACCCCTGCTAGCCCGGATCCATCGCCCCATGTGCAGCTCCCACAGCCCCCTGCGAGAGGCAGGCAATATCTGCTTGCCCATGGTTGAGGGAGAGGGTGTCAGAAATGTGAGAGGGGATAAACTGGGATGCACTGGGGCAAGCCCCTGCCTTGGTGTCACGGAGTCCCTGGGCGATGCTCTGGAACTGCTCCCCATGAAGCCAGTCAGGACTCTGGGGCAGTCGCCTTTCTGTGAGCAGCCTGTCTTCAGGACACGCAGCTCACACAGCTTCCACCTTCCTGGGTCTGACCTCGGAGCATTCAGCATCCTCTGCCCCTCCGTGCGCTTCCCACAGCGAGTCCGCTCAGGCGGGGCTCCTGGGGAAGCCAGAGGGTCCTGCACCCCAACTTCGCAGTCAGACGTGACTCTCAGCCAGCCAGTAAAACAGAAGGTTTATTAGACGACAGGAACATGGTCTAAAACAGAGCTTGCAGGTGCAGAGAACGGGACCCCTCAGCTGGGTCCATTTTGGGGGGCAGTGAGCCAGACAACCACGTCTGCACTTCACTCCATGTCCCAGCCAGCCCCAAACTGAAAACCCCTCCAGCCCCTCCTCCTCTGGGCTTTGTTCCTTTCCCGGGCCAGGTGGTCACCTGATTCCTTTGTTCTCCAACCCTTCAGCTCTCACCTTGCAGGGGGGGAAGGGCCCAGGCCATCAGTTGCCAGGAAACAGGGTGTCGGCCATTCTCTGTGTCCAGATCCCTGCACACACCTGCCCTCTAGGGCTCTGCAATGATCATACACCCTTACCCCACCACCTAGATACTTAAGAACTGCATAGGGGAAACTGAGGCACCCCCACACTATTCAGAGGAAACATTAAGAACAGTCCCACTTCGTCACATCTCTCCCCCCTTCGAGATCGAACTGAGCGGGGTCACTTTAGCCGGTGACCTGGGGAAGTTCGAAGCCACCAACGTTCCCATGGATGCCCCAGCATCTCTCCCATTCCTTGGTAGGAGTTACACCAGGCCCTTCCAGTTTCACGCCCTGCCTTAGGTCAGGGTGGTCGATAGCACTCGCAGGCCGCATGTGGGAAGGTTTATGCAGCCCATGCCCTTTGGCCACCCCAAAACCCCAGGGGGTCAAACTGGAGTTGGGTTTTCTCCCAGAGCTCCAGTCTGGAGGGCTGCAATTCGGGCTCTCTTGGTTAAGGGCCCCCATCTTGACCTGGGCCACATACTGTTCACTTACAGAACTAGCATGGAGACATCCCTTTCCCAACAACCTTGTCTCCCCAACAAGCTGGCCAAACACAGCCACTTGGTTATAGGACGGTATACCTTTCTTAATAGCTTTCACTCCATCTGAGACCTTCTCAAAGCTCTCCACACTGGATCTTTCAACAGGAAAGTCAGTGGATCCATTCACAACAGAAAATTTCTGGCTGTTAGGAACTTAAACTTTCTTGATTAAATCACTTTCACACCCTTCAGTGGCAGTAAACTGCTTGCAAAGACTCCATGAGGATTCCTTTCCCGAGGGCTTTTCTATGCAACAATTCACCCCCTCCCAGAAATTCTGCTCTTACCCTCTTTACCTAGGGCTTGCTCTAGGGGAACACTTTCCTGAGCAACTACAGACTCTTTCTGGGTCTCCCTTACATCCAGAATCACCTCTGGCCCATCAGGCGGATTCCTACACAATCCCCTTTCATGCAAACTTACAGACTTCCTAGATAAAAGGTTAGAAGCATTCTCCTTCCCTTTGCCACACACAAGTTCAGGAATCTTTTCCTTCTTGCTACAGGTTTCCACACCCTCAGTAGGTTCCACAATCACATCACCTTCCTGCTCTCCTTGTGCCCTGGCTAGGATCTCACCCTGATTAGACAGAGTTGCTACACCCTTTCCAACAACACACTAGCAACAGGCAAAATACAAGCACCAGAATTGTCTGGTCTCGGGGATTTTACATAGACCCTAACTGGATGCGACCTAGTTACAGGGCCATTCTCCCGAGCAGACAGAAACTTAGGACCCTTCC